TTGCCTTCAACCCAAGTCTAGGTCCAGCTAGGAATTAGCTTATTACACAAGACCTCACTTTGGCTTGTAAGGATGATCGTTTTTCCCTCAAGAAAGAAAAAAACCCAGGCTAATAAGACCAAATTGAATAAAGCAGATAAGCCACTAACTAATAAATAACAGGCCACTACCCAATCCCACGTTTGGTATAGTGTATAAATGAGATGCAACACTCTCGTAACAAGTACCACATGAAAAACATCTTTCCATAACTTGATGACTACTTTAATTGGGGAGAAAATTCATAATATGATTTACATCTTTTTCTTTTCGACCCCAGTAAAGAAGCCAGAAGGAAAGGCTTGAATTGCTGGAGCCTAATTCTGATCTCAAAGAAGTTTTCAACAAGTCTTTCTACGCCTATCAAATAGAGTTTCACCTAATTTTCTCCTAATTTACACTGGCAGAGGAGAAATCAGGATTAGGACTTGTTGTCTAATACTATTTGTTTTGAATTATTAAGCAAACATTCCTATTTCAATGAGTAAACGTGTACAAAGGCAACTAACCTTCGTCCTAAAATCTAGTTTACAGGGAGAGTATTGTCTGCTTTCCCAATTAATGCTGTAAAAAGGAGTCTCAGACGTTGAGCTACCAATCAAGAGCTTGTGTTGTAGCTTGAGAAAATCATGACTGATGCAATTACTTTTATGTAGAAAGTCTGAATATGGTCTATAGGTTAAAGTTCATTGGGTTATTGTTCCTTAATTGAATATCAGAAGATGTTTTCAAGGTGCTCGAGGTATTATTGTTATTTAATTAGCAGGCCTCCTTGTGTAATCCGACAGTATTATTTTTATTATAAAATAGTTAGATTGCACCATAAATACACAAGGTATTTTCTAAACAGAGATACAGCTGTTTTCCTGCAATCCAAGCTTAAAGAAAAAGGGGAAGAGTTACTCCTTTGAAGACGAAAAAGTTCAAATCCAGTTATTTCTCTTCCACTACAGTCTGTGTGACAACGTATTAAGCTTTGGAGAACAGCTTTTTGGGAGACTTTGATTCCTTCTCAGTGTTTTGAAATTACACAAGTCCCCCAAACTAGAGCCAAAGCCGTTTCTAAAGCCTTCATCATGTTCAGTATCTCCCTATACATAGCCATCTTAAAGCCTTAAAATAGTAATAATCAATTAGGGTCTCAAGCCTATTATCTTAACCAAATGCCTGATTAAAAGAAAAGCCCTCTCTGCTCAAAGTACAACTTGATTCCTTTTGGTTTTATCCTCTATCTAGATAATCCCATGTTTCACGAACA